ATATAGTATTGGTGCTTTAATGTACAACTTGAAGTTGTACCATAACATTAAATGTATAGGTTTAGATTGTACCATAAAGCAATTTGTATCATTATGTTATGGTACAACTTTACAACTTGAAGTTATACCATCACACAAGATACAAGTTTAAGTTGTACCATATAAGAATTTGTACAAAAAGAATTTGTAAAATCATTTTATGGTACAAATTATAATTGTACTTTTATATTATGATACAACTTTACAATTTCAAGTTGTACCATAGCATAAATGTCAAATTTCTTTACAACTTCAATTTATACTTTTGGCGTTATGGTACAAAATTAAGTTGCACTTTAAAGCACCAATACTTTAAAACATAGTAGTAGTGCTCATTGTAGAGACTGATGGAGCTTAGGGGTCGTTTGAAAGTTGTGATTTCAAATGGTGTATTGAGCCAATTCATGTATTTATGAGATTAAGTCTTTTTTTGTCTTATATTGAACTAGAATACATACATTAAATTTTTAGAGGTCCCACCACAATTACTTATAATTGAGGGATTATCAATCTCTACTTTTTGTTGAGATTCTTCCCAATCACTCAAAATGAAATTTTGTGGCTTTACAACAAACCATAATCTAAACCTCCAAACAAGATATTTTCCTAATACATCAATTGATTCAATACATCAAATTATAATATACTAAGTGACTCAATCTAATAATTTGAATAATTACAACTTCCAAACGACCCCTTAGTAGCACTAGCAAGTAGGGATGGCAATTGGTCGGGTTGGGTTGGGTTGGGTTTTGCCAAACCCAAACCCAAACCCATGGGTTTATCCGTGAAAAAAACTCGGGGTAAAACCCACTGGGTTTGAAAAACTCAAACCCAACCCAACCCGCTAGGTATCCGCGGGTTCATGGGTACCCACGGGTTTTTGTCGTAAAAAATTCACAATAATAAATTCCTATCAAAATTAAAGTCAAATATCAATCTCTCAATACAAATTATCCATATATAAAACATCATTCTAGAATATTCAAGCAAATCACAAATTAACTATACAAATTGTTCAACACCAATCTAGAAAACTCAAGAAAATTGAAGCAAATCACAAATTATCCATAAATAACATGATTAATTGAAAGCTTCTTCTTTTCGATTAAGTTTTTCACTCTCCACTCGATAACATCAACTTCATTCTACATAACTAGAAAGAAAAAATTAACATGTCTCCACAAACATAAATAAGATTAGTTGTAGTTTAGAATATTAAATATGCTGAGAAAATTAATTATATGGGTGTGGCTGTGTGGGCGGGTACCCATGGGTCGGGTTTACCTAAACCCAACCCAACCCGATGAATAGTGAATGAGTTTAAACCCAAACCCGGCCCAAAACCTGTCAACGCGGATTTTACCCGTGTTGACCGGGTTGGATCGGGTGGGTACCCGTGGGTTCAGGTTTTGTTGCCATCCTACTAGCAAGTAGCAAACGAACTGGTTGTCCTAATGGGCTGCTGTACCACCGTATTTGGGCTGTTAAAACTTAAAACTAAGCCTTTGTTTATTTATTTTCACGGGCTCCCTTTTATATGTTTTGAGACTTATTTATAAACTAAAGCTAGCAGGCTGGATTCATCTGCTTTAAGTGGCTGGGCTGAAACTTAACTATAGAGCCCATTGTGTATCATAGAGTTAGACGATTGGATCAGTATGTAGTGCTACCAAACATCAGCCCGTCCCGTACCATGAATAAGTTCTGTAGTGCCTTGAGATATTTGGTATACAGTGTTAGTGTTGTGGTATATGATCCACGATTCAACATTTCCCAATAACTCGACTTATTAGGATCAACTGGTTCTTGACATGGTATCAGAGCCTTCTGTGACCGAGAGGGTCTTGTGTTCGATTCCCGGTGACCCCCATTTATTAAGCACATGGTATTCTTGTCTTCAGACCTGTGCAAACTTCAAGCCATTGTGAGTGGCTTTCATTTGAGGGGGCATGTTAGTGTTGTGGTAATTGTTTGAGCCTAGATACCACCGAACGCTTATCCTTCAACTTTCCACTTTTCCGTCACCCGGGCGCCTGGAACCTGCACCCACAAGCGCCTAAGGGCCCTGGTCGACCCGTTAGCACTCCGAAGCTCAAGTCAGTGCCCCTTTTTAGAGAGATAAGTGCTGGAGAGTATTTTCGTCCGAGAAGCCCCCCCTGTAAATGCTATCGTCTGCCCCTATTTATACTCACCGAACCCGAGGTTGATCTCCGCCACGTCACTTCCCTCATTCAATGCTCTGCGCCCTCAGACAGCTAACCGCCCTGTCAGGCTCCTGACACCCGACTGACATTCCACAGCTCTGCCAGGCTCCTGACACACGACAGGCGCCCGCAGGCCGTGGTCCACCATCCAGCTGGTCGCCACCTGGCTTTTGGTGCTCTGTGTGACAGCTAACCGCCCTGTCAGACTCCTGACACCTGACAGGCGCCCCAGGCCGTGGTCCACCAGCCGGTTGGCCGCCACCTGGCTCTTGGTATTTTACTCTTTTGGGCTTTGTCCCCTAGCTCGCTGGGTAATACCCCCAACAATTGCCCCCCCAGTTAGGTGCTCGTGGCTTCGCCAACGAGCGCCTGACTGAACCTCTAGTCGTAGCCCAGCCTTCTGCTTAGTTGCAGGGCGCCTGTCACTCGGCGCCTGCATCGTGCTCTCATTTGTTTCTTGGTCCTACAAGGTGCGTTTGCCTTTCTTCCTCCGCGATCAGGCGTCCTGCCTTTGTCTGTGTCCCTTATCGAATACTCTTCCAGGTGCTTCTGTGCCTCTTGCCTGCCAAGGCGCCTTTTACCCAATCGGGGCGCCTTTTTGATTAGCCCTCCTTTTCGGGCGCTTCATGGTGTCATTCTTGACGAGTGTCCTTATCCCTTGTGCCCCCCTCACCCACACTGTGCTTGTGGGGGAAATTTGGATAAAAGAAAAATTCGAAATTCGAAATTCGAAATTCGAAATTTGGGAGTTGAGAAATTTCCCCGAAAAGGAGAGTGTGGGGGAAGCTCAAAGGTCCGCCTGTGTTTTGGTGACGCGCGAAAAGACCAAAAGGTGGGGAGAGCTGAAGGGTTTCCTTCGGCATGACTGACACGTGTCATGCGATGGGTGAGCCTTCGTTTCTCTTTAAATACCCCCCCCCCTTTGTGATGCTGTCACTTTCTTCTATTTGTCATCTCTCTAGAATCTTGCTCTGACTTCTCTCTAGAATCTTCCGCTCTGACCTCTGTCCTCTTTCCTCTTTGTTTTTCTCGGCCAACACTTCATTCTCGTCCAAAAAATGTCGTCTCCACAACAAGACAAGACTTCTGCACCCGGCGCCTCGGGCGCAGGCGCCTCCGGCGACGGTGGTGAAGCAAGGCGCCCAGTTCAACGTGGTAAGTAGTCTTTTCCTTTCGTCGATTTCGTTGAGTTCTTTTTCTCTAGCCACTTAGGGTAGGGGCGTCACTTACCCCTTGTCCGCGTTGCGTCTGGGTCATTTGTTGGTTTAGAGCGGGCGTCTGCTTCCTCGTCAGCTGGGCCGTCAAGTTCGTCGGCGCCTGGCTTCTTGCCCGCCGACGGGTCATACAAGATCACGACGTGGGAGAAGTGCTTCCCACCTGATCATTTGCCCACCGAGACGTCGCACTTGTCTTTTGAGGTGGCTGGGCCCAACCACACGTCGACCATCACCCTGGACCAGGTTCATGAACTGGTGACTAGTCTCCAGCTTCCCAGAGACTGGTGGTATGCGCCTCCATCGCCCCAGTCCCGGGTGGGCGTCTGTGGCCCCAAGTGGATCGGGCTCTACCAGGAGTACTTTCGCTTCGGGCTTCAGTTTCCCCTGGACTCGATCATGGAGGGAATTTTGACGACATGCGCCTGTCCTCTCGGGCGCCTATCCCCTTCGGTCATCACGGTTGTCATCCTCTTCAAGTTGAGGTGCCGAGAGCACAACGTGGAGCCCACCTTCAACTTGTTCCGATACTTCTTCAAGATGGTGGCTCTGGACAACTGCTTATCCCTCCAGAAGCGCAAGAAGAAAAGCTGCCCCCATCACTTTGTCCAGAAATGCCCTAAGTTGAACCGAAGTTGGTTCAACGGGTTTTTCTTCGTGAAGGCATATCAAGACTCCTTCTTTGCCAGTGGGGGCGCCTTTATGAGGAAATGGGGGTTAGGCCATGTCGACGACTTCAATAAGCCGGTGGTTTTGACGGCGTCTGAGCAAGCTGGCGCCTCCTTAATTTGCGAGGGGGGAGCCTGTTGACTTACGCCCCGCCGAGAATCGTCCTCCCATTATTGAAGCTTATTATAACAATGGTGTGTAGGCGTCTAGGTGTTCTGCGTCCTTATCCCTTTTTCTTTTTTTGCGTTATGTATTAACTCCTTTTTGTCATATGCAGGGGCGGACTACTCGAGCATCGCCAAGCTTATGAAAAGTAGGCTGGCGACCATGGTGGCGGCTGCGGCGGCATCTTCCCAGCAAGAGGCGCCTGCCCAGCAAGAGGCGCCCCGTCAACCAGCGGTACCTGCCACCCAATCACAGGCGCCGCCAGTCGTCCCCAAGAAAAAGAAAGGGAAGAAGAGGGCAGTGAAGGGTGGCACCGCTCAGGCGCACACGGCAAGCGTGGCGTCGTCCGCCCCGGAAGAAGGCGATGGGACGCCTGATGTCGACCCCGCGGATAAGGAGGTTAACTCCGCGGAAGAGGAAGAAGAAGAGGAGCCTTTGCTCCGCAAGGGAAGAGGGCGGGCTCCCCTTAACCTCGGCCAGTAAAAAGGGCCGCCCACGGCAAGAAGAAGGTAGGCGAGGAGGACGCCTGCGAGGAGGACGCCTACGATGAGGTTGGCGTGGAGGCGGAGGCGGCGGAGGACGCCCGCGTCCATCTTAATGAAGAGGGGCGCTATGTTGGCCCCGATGGGCGCCCCCCCATCTTTCGGCCACGGCGTACCGAGGTGGGACGGGTCAACATGAACTGTTCCCCCTTGGTCGCCGTTGACCGAGGGTGTGCCATGGGTTTGGCAATAGCGGCCGCCAAGTCCTGGCAAGTACCATCCGAGGTGACCAGTGATCACCATTTTGCTGAATTAGCCCAAGTGGGCGCTAAGGTATGCCTCCTCGTACTTGTTTGTATTTTCATATCCTTTCTACTTGTTATTTTGCACAACTTGCTAACCCTTTTCCAATGGTTGCAGATCCTTCTTTTTGCTGAAAGAGGCGCCCGACGCCTCAATGAGACGAAAAGGGAGGCGCTCGAGGCTTCCTCTTCAGCTGCTCAGCTGAAGTTGGATCTGGAGAACGCAACTGCACGCCGCGAGCAGTTTGCGAAGGAATGCGAGGACGCCCAGATGACGGCCACCATGGAGTTGTCTCGTCTGCAAGGCGCCCTAGACGAGGAGCGCAATAAATTGGCCACCCTGCAGGCCGAGAAGGATGTGCTGGCGCAGGAAGCTGGCGCCCAGGCCAGTGAAATCGACATCCTTAAGGAGGAGAAGAGGAGGTTGAAGGACGCCCACAAGGAGAGTGAGAAATCCTTGAAGAGGGCCCGGAAAGAAATTTCCGAACTTCGGCAATCCTTGGACGACCTGATGGAGTCGGAGACCGGGAAGTCCATGTGCGCCAATGCCGTCCTGACCGGCATTGAAATCCTGCGGGGAAAGCTGCAGAAGGACCATCCTGACCTTACTTGGGATCTCTCGGAGATGGCCGAGTATGTGATCGGCGGGATGGAGACGCCTCGCGGGACAAGTGGGGCGCCCGAGCCATCAGCTCCCACCTCTCCTTCTCCAAGGGCGCCTAGTGCTGGGGATGCGAATTCAGGCGCCGAGTAGATTAGCTGTCCTCGAGTGTTATCGTTTTCTTATCTTGTAATGTCTTTCCTTACATACTTATTTTTATATATAAGAATGTATGTTTCCTTGTCAATTGGCTTTGCTTCCACCTTAGCTTTCCTTTTATTACCAAGTTTCGCGTTTCCTGTGAGGGCGCAATGTTAGGGCGCTTTTGCAAAAGGCGGGCGCGAAACATGGCGCTTTGCTAGACTTAGCTTTGCCGGGCGCTATTTTTGGGCGCTTTAATTTAGGATTACTTAGGATACGTTATTGGGCGCAACTGGTATGGGCGCTACATGGGGCGCAAAGAGGTGGGCGCAATGTTACTACCTCTTTAGATATCCGCTTTCACGTATAATAATTAATCCGATTCCAAAAAGTTGGGGCGCAAAATTGGGGCGCTTTACATGGAGAGGGCGCGAGTATGGCGCTTTACGGAATAAGGCGGGCGCAAAACTGGGCGCTTTGGAAAATATAACACACAAGAAAAACACTACTCCGCCATAAAAGGACTAGTCTTGCAAGTCTATTCACCTTCAGGCGCCTGTTCCTCTGCTCCTTGCCTGGTACTTGTCTCTGATTCGGGCGCCTCATATTTGCGCAAATTTTGTGCATTCCACGTCCTCTTGACCTTCTTGCCTGATAGGTGTTCCAGCTTGAATGTACTTGGACCAATGACCTCTTGAATGCGGTATGGCCCTTTCCACTTTGGAGCCAACTTCCCTTCGGCCGCTTTTGGGCGGAAATCCCTCTTTAGGACAAGGCTCCCTTTCATGAGGTTGTGCGCCTTCATCTTCTTGTTGTAGTACCTTGCCACTTGACCCTTCATTGCTTCCAATCGCAACACCGCCATCTCTCGGCGCTCGTCCAGTAGGTCTAGCTCATCAATACGCTCTTGGGCCTCCATAGACTCGCTTCGATGGGTCATCCTGAAAGTTGGGACACGCATCTCGACGGGCAACACCGCTTCGCTACCATAAGTTAGCGCGAAGGGTGTTTCACCCGTGGCTACTTTGAAGGAAGTCCTGTGCGCCCATAGAACACTTGGTAATTCTTCAACCCATCTTCCCTTGGCTTCTGCCAATCTCATGTGTAAGCCGTGCAAAATACTCTTGTTTGCTGCCTCGGCTTGTCCGTTGGCTTGAGGGTAGGCCACTGAAGAGAACCTTAACACGACCCCATTTTCATCGCAAAACTCTATGAACTTTTTGCAATCAAATTGCTTTCCATGGTCAGTGATGATGGATTCCGGGAGCCCAAAACGCGTAAAGATGTTTTTCCTTGTAAATTTCCGCACTTGCGCCTCGGTGATTGAGGCCAATGGCTCTGCTTCAATCCATTTGGTGAAGTAATCAATCGCGACGATTAAGTACCTGTACTGACCAGGCGCCCTCGGAAATGGTCCCAACAAGTCCATGCCCCACTGAGCGAAGGGCCAGGCGCCTACATTTCCCTGCATAGGTGCCGCTGGGAGATGAATGTCGTTAGCATGGATTTGGCACTGGTGGCATGATGTCACGTGTCTCCCTGCGTCCCTTCGCATTGTTGGCCAATAATATCCTTGTCGGAGCAAGATTTTCTCCAGACTGCGGGCGCCTGCATGCATGCCATACCTTCCTTGGTGCACCTCGTTGATCGCCTCTAGCCCCTCTGCCTCGGTAAGGCATCTCAAATAGGCGCGGGAATGTGATCTCTTGTATAACACATCATCCACGATGGTGCAGCGAGCTGCCTTCCGACGAAGGCGCCAGGCATCCTTTGGGTTCTCCGGTACGACTCCCTGCGTTAGGAAGAGGCGAATTGGTGCCATCCACCCTTCTTGCACTCCCGATAGAATGGAGGCCATTACCAACTCTTCGTGTGGGACTTCTTTTGCCACGATCACCGTCCGACTCTCCTCAAAGTCTAAAGCCGTAGCCAACTTAGACAAAGTGTCTGCATGAGCATTCTCCTCTCTCGGGACATGCGTAAAAGTTACCTCTCGAAACCACGCGCACCTCTTCCGCACGGACTGCACATAGGCACATAGAGCCTCCTCTTTTACTTCGTAAACTTCGTTCAGCTGATTGACGACCAGCGCTGAGTCAGTCTTCACATTAACCCTTTGGGCGCCCAGCTCCCTCGCATAATGAAGTCCGGCCAGAACAGCCTCGTACTCAGCCGCATTGTTCGTTTTGAGGGTCGCAAAACGAAGCGCAATTTCATGAAGGGCGCCTAAAGGGCTAACGAGCACCATGCCGGCCCCGGCGCCTGCCCGACTTGCTGCTCCATCCACATGTACTTGCCAGCATTCCTCGATGCCTGGCCCTCCGTCGGCCACACCTTCGGCCATGAAGTCTGCCAACACTTGAGCTTTAACAGCTGGACGGGGCGCGTAACTTATATCAAACTCACTTAACTGCACGGCCCACTTCACCAGGCGCCCAGACACATCCATTGATCCAAGAACCGTCCTTAGTGGCAAGTTGGTGAGCACCACGATGCTGTGAGCCTGAAAATAAGGTCTGAGCTTGTTCGCGGCCATTACTACCGCTAAAGCCGCCTTCTCTATGGGCGCATATCGCGTCTCATGGCCAACCATGGTGCGGCTGACGTAATACACCGGTCGCTCTTCATTCGTTAGCGAGTCTTTGGATATCAGTACAGCGCTCACAGCGATGTGGGACACCGCTATGTACAAGTATAGCACTTCCTTGGCTCTAGGCGCGGTCATTACCGTAGGCGCTATGAGTAGCCCCTTCAATTCTTCAAACGCCTTGTTGCATTCTTCTGTCCATCGAAACTTGGTGGCCTTTTTCAATACCTTGAAGAATGGGGCGCCCCGGTCCGAGGCTCGTGGAATGAACCGTCCCAACGCCGCCAGCCTTCCCGTCAACACTTGCACTTCTTTCGGCGTTCTCGGGGGCGCCAAGTTCTTGATGGCCTCCACCTGCCTGGGATTGGCCTCAATCCCCCTTTTGGTTATCATGAAACCCAAGAACTTTCCCGCCTCCGCAAAGAACACACACTTTTTGGGGTTAAGCCTCAAATTGAATCGGCGCATTGTCTCGAAAGTTTCTCGGAGGTCCAGGATATGATCTAGGCGCCTCTTGCTCTTCACTATCAAATCATCAACATATGCTTCCACGTTTCTCCCTATCTGCTCGCGGAAGACTTGGTTTACCATACGTTGGTAAGTGGCGCCTGCATTCTTTAAACCAAATGCCATGACACGATAGCAAAAGTTGCCAAAAGGTGTCATGAAGGCCGTTTTCGCCCGGTCCTCCTCTACCATAGGGATCTGATGATAGCCTGAAAACATGTCCAAGAAACTGAGCGCTTCGTGATACGCCGTCGCATCTACCAGCAAGTCGATGCGTGGCATAGGGTAAGCATCCGTCGGGCACGCCCGGTTGAGGTTAGTAAAGTCCACGCACATCCTCCAATCTCCCGACGGCTTTGGGACAAACACTACATTGGAGAGCCACGTAATGTACCTTGCCTCCTCCACAAACCCCGCTTCTCGCAACCTATCAACTTCATGCCGGAGCGCCTCTTCTTTCTCGGGGGTCAAGTTTCGTCGCTTTTGTTGCACCGGCCTTTTACCTTCTTCCACTGCCAGCCTATGTGCCGCAACTTCGGGGGACACTCCGGGCATATCCCGAGCGCTCCATGCAAACAATTCTCCAAATTCTCGCAGTAACTCAATTAAGGGCGCTCGCATAGCCTCTGGCGCCTGTGATGATATTCGTATTACCTGGTCTGGGCGCCCCTCGTCCAAGATCACAGCCATCTCATCATCTACTGGCTCTGCCCTGGGCGCCTCCTCTGGACGGATGTCTACAATATTCAGTCTATGCTTCCGACCTCGATTCTTTGAGTCCTCTTCTCTTGCATATCGCGGGACATTCCTTCCTCGCGAGACGCCTACGCCTTGAGGAGCGACGAACTTCAGCGTCTGATGGCACGTCGAGGCTACCCCATTGAATTGCGCCAAAAGAGGTCGGCCAAGTATCACATTGTATGGCGAGGGACAGTCAACGATGCCAAACTCCACCGCATGCGTTACGCAATGCGCTTCGTCCCCCAGAGTCACAGGGAGGCGTACGCGCCCGATGACTTGAGCAGGTGCCCCCGAGAATCCCACCAACACCGAATTTGAGGGACGCACCAACTCAGGTGCCAGCTGCATTCGTTCGAAGGTGCTCTTGAAGAGGACATCCATAGAGCTGCCTGTGTCTACCAACATTCTCTTCACTTTACATCCGGCTATCACCCCTTGTATCTCAAGAGCCTCTTCCGACGGGACTTGGCACGCCTCATCCGGTTCCTGATTAAAGTGGATGTGCACGGCTTCCCTGGCTTCAAGCGACGCAGCTCGCAGGCGCCTAGATCTCTCCAACTTCTCTCTCAAGTCAAGGGTACCCGTTATGGACTCGACTGTAAGCCTTACACGGCTAGGTTCTCCCTCTTGATCTACCTCAAACGGAGGTGGCGGAATAACAGGCGCCGGCTCAGTTTCTGGTTCTTTAGGCGCTTCTCTGACCGTGGGCAGCACCACGGTTTGGGCTCTTGGTTTTTCAGGCGCCCTCCTCTGTTCCGGCACCTGCCTCGTCACATAGGTTCGATGCGTCCTGTCTTCCATCCTTCTGACGAAGTCGTTGAGCATGCCCTTGTCAGCTAAAGTTTGTAGTTCGGACTTCAGTTGGTAACAATCGGCCGTGTGATGCCCCTTGTCGCGATGGAAGTCACAATATCTGTCAAGATTTTTTTCGTTAGGCTGGCCACGCATGGGCCCCGGCCACCTTATATGGTAGCCCCTATCCTTCACATATTGTAGCACATTCTTGAGGGTATCATTGTACTCTGTAAAATTCGCAGCACTCCTCGGCACAGGGCGTGGCGCCTCTGGTCTCCTTGGTGGGACGAAATTTCCGGGACCTGGTCTGGGCGCCTGCCTCACCTCGCCTTCATCACCTCTTAGGCGCCTCTTTTCAGCCCTTCGCGCCGCCAAAGTTTCTTCCAACATAATCACCTTTTGTACTCTTCGGTCAAGGTCTTCGGTGGATACTACATCTCGCTTGGACAGGACCCGACATAGCTCTTCACTTGAGGTGCAGGCATCCAAGCAGACCCCCAATACTGCTGGTTGCACATCTTTGACCGCCATGGCCACCGAGATCCATCGATCATAAAATTCTCTGAGCGCCTCACCTTCCCTCTGTTTGACTTTAAACAACGCCCCTATGGTCAGTGTCCGACGCTTTCGGCTTGCAAACTTGGACAAAAACAACTCAGCAAATTCTTCGAAACATTCTATGCGCCCCTCCTCAATCTGGTGGTACCAATCCAGGACCACGCCTGCGAATGTGGATGGAAACACCTTGCACAATGTGGCGTCGGAGCTGTTATAGAGCTGCATCTTAGTAAAGTAGCTATTCAGGTGGTCTTCCGGGTCAGCCACCCCATCATAACTCGGCAACGGGGGGATCGTAGTTCCCGCCGGCTCCATTAGGATGCGCCGCGCCAGAGGCTGCCGAACACCAAACCTTCGAGCAATCCTCCTAGGCGCCCATACGTCCTCTGGGCCTGTTTGCGCGCGCTCGATATTTAGTCTCCCCTCTCGTGGGCGCCCAAACGCGTCCTGCCCCTGCTCGGAGGCATACGGCGGTCCGTATTGCAGAGACTCCGAATCTTCCCCCATTCTTTCCCGCTTTCTCGCCCCTGGGCTGTACATCATCACATCTTCACTTCGTTCCCCTTCCAACTCCCTCTTGAGCGCCGCTATGGCCCGATCTTGGTCGGCTATGATTCGAAACAACTCTCTTTTCGTCAAAGACTCGCCATCATCAGCGGACAGGCGCCTAGGGCTTCCTTGTCCCTCCCCATCCATGCTCCTCTCCTGACTCAGTTGACGCTCGCCTCCTTCGTGGTCCGAGTTCCCCGACCTGGAATTGCCTTCTCCATCGTTCCCTTCGTTCATGTTTTCCATGCGCCTACCGTTTTCGTGCGCCTTCTCCCCCTATCTGGCGCGCCAATTGTTTGAGCCTAGATACCACCGAACGCTTATCCTTCACCTTTCCACTTTTCCGTCACCCGGGCGCCTGGAACCTGCACCCACAAGCGCCTAAGGGCCCTGGTCGACCCGTTAGCACTCCGAAGCTCAAGTCAGTGCCCCTTTTTAGAGAGATAAGTGCTGGAGAGTATTTTCGTCCCAGAAGCCAACCTCCGTAAATGCTATCGTCTGCCCCTATTTATACTCACCGAACCCGAGGTTGATCTCCGCCACGTCACTTCCCTCATTCAATGCTCTGCGCCCTCAGACAGCTAACCGCCCTGTCAGGCTCCTGACACCCGACTGGCATTCCACAGCTCTGCCAGGCTCCTGACACACGACAGGCGCCCGCAGGCCGTGGTCCACCATCCAGCTGGTCGCCACCTGGCTTTTGGTGCTCTGTGTGACAGCTAACCGTCCTGTCAGACTCCTGACACCTGACAGGCGCCCCAGGCCGTGGTCCACCAGCCGGTTGGCCGCCACCTGGCTCTTGGTATTTTACTCTTTTGGACTTTGTCCCCTAGCTCGCTGGGTAATACCCCCAACAGTAATGATCCACGATTCAACCTCTCCCAACAACTCGAGTTATTGGGATCAACTGGTTCTTGACATATAGCTCTATATATTCTTGAGACCAAATATCACAGATTTCTTTGGAAGATAATTTCAATTTTGTTAGCACTTAGCCCTTACAAGTGGCTAAAGGTAATGTGACCAGTCGACTCGGGTCAATTTTGGTTGACTTAGTTTTGTGGAAAAAAATAAGAAAGAGAATTTAGCTTATTTGGTTGATCGATCAAATGATTTAAACTAAAATCGGTTAGTTTTAGTCAGCTTTAATCAAGTTTAACCAAGTTCAATTGAAAACAACATAGGAAATGTAGGACCATATAGGATGGCTGGTTATGGTCGAATCCGTTTAACCAGTATATGCTCAATCTCGGTTTACTAACCATATCCTAAAGTCACCACCCTGCAGAGGCAAAACTTTCACTCAAAGATCAGACTCAGACCATATTCGCTACACAATTCCTTTGAGGCATAGAACAAAGGTGAAAGGTTTACACACTAAGTGACTAAGATACTTCGGCCTTCTTTCTTAATTACTTGCTGGGATTTTGATTTTCAATCATCTCTTGATACAAGGACATTAGGAACTTGTGTGTTTTCTAAGATACGAAAAACTAATTAATGTTCAAGTTTGATCCATGGCAAGTATTTTATTTTCAGGTTATTTATTGTTGTCATTGTAGGTAAAAACCTACTTGAGATCTCAAACTCACGATTTGCGGTTATAGTGTCGTTGTTTATGTTGGCATCTGAAAAATTGGATAGTCTTTGATTATACTCAGCTTATTGTTTCTGTGTTGCTATCCCAGTTTCATTTGCAGGTGGCGAAATGGGAGACGATGTCACGGGAGAGGCCTTCGTCAGCTAACGAGAAGGCTGGGGATATTTGGGGCGAGTAAAGGACGAGGACTTGCAATATGGTTTATTTGTAGCCTTATTAACAAGGTTTCTAACTTGGCGACAAGAAAAGGTCTTGCTTTATAACATTTTTTTATTTGACTTGATTTTTTGGTGTTGTTTTCGATAATATGATTTTTTTCTATTTATCTATTTTCTTGATATTACAGGTCATTATTAGAAAAAATTTCAAAAATAATATTATCACGATGTATGATAAAATTGAAACAGCTAGCCAAAAGAATTCTCACAAATTGAACACTTGATTGCAAATGGGCAACAATTAATCATTATCCAGGAAAAGGTTCCTTCTTCCTAATCCCAAACACTCCACATACCTCCATTCCTCCTTTCACATCCAACTCCCCTAAAGAAGCTTTTTGTGAAAAATCCCCAAATGAAATCTATGGACTGATCCAAATCTAATGAAACTGGGCCTATCCCAAAGATACTGCAATTGGGCTTCTCACAACATGGTAATCATCCCTCCAAGCATACCACCCGAACCCATACCCGCCTCTGAAATTCCCCTCCGCCGCCGTTCGATTCCTCACCGTAACCCTCAATTCGAAGCTCTTCTTCTCACCTACCCGACTGAAGTACAAAACGCTGGGCCGCGCCTCCACCGTCAACCCCGGCGGCGGCTTCCCGCCGAAGAAGTACGCCGCCTTCCCGGCGCCACCCACGTTCGTCACCGTTCTCCTCACGGTGGCGCTCCCGTTCAATTTCGGCACGGAGACGGACGGGTAATTGAGGTCGTACGTCGGCGGCAACACTTCCGGGCACTCGAATCGCTTGTCGGCGTTTCTCAACCCGTAGCTGCAGAGGTAGAGCAGGTAGTCCCCGTACGACGCGTCGTATACCAAACCCGGGTCCGCTGCTCTCGACGGGCGGAAGTGACCCGACCCGAATTCGAACGGCGTCGCTTTGTCGCCCGATTGATCGGTTATTGCCTCCCCCTTTTTGTTCTTTACCGACGCTGCACATTAGCCCAAAAACCACATAGAAAACTGTATTTGTCACTCTATGTGAAGAAATCAAATTTTCCTCTGTCGTTGAAACGTGATATGGGTTGTGATTTACCAGTGGTCATGATTGCAGATCTTATGGCGGCAGAGCTCCAAGTGGGATGTATAGCTTTGATAAGCGCGGCCAAGCCAGCAACGTGAGGGCACGACATTGACGTCCCTGAGTCAAAATTGTAACTCACAACTCGATGATCTTCAGAAACTTTACTGGGTGGAGATGCTTCACTCCATGCCGCCAGTATATTCAATCCAGGAGCTGTAATATCCGGCTGTGCAAGAAAGAACAAAAATGTTGGAATGTCTTGAATTTTAAATCTTTCCGTGATTACAAACAGAATGATGACATTTGATATTACCTTAAGAATGGAAGGATGAATGACATTGGGCCCTCTGCTTGTGAATCCGGCCATAAACGGCGCCGGTCCATTGCCGAAAACCGTCTCTGGCTCTGCAAGGCTAGCGGTTGCGTTGTCCTTGTTTGATTTGATGTAGTTTATGACCTCATTCGTGTCATTGTACCCAAGTGCGGTGGTTGGAAGCACGTGCGGCTCCAAGTAGACGGCGTCGCCGAATTCGGCGCTATTTCCCAGGATGAAGCCGGCGCCACCGGCCCTTTTCACTTCCATTCCTTTCAACACTCTGAATGTGGTTCCTCTGATGCAGAGCACGATTTTGCCTTTGACCTTTTCCGGCGACAAGGAATTCGGCAGGCATTGGTCCGTTTCGTTCTTTGGTACCCATGGAAGTGCCGCATCTGCTGCGTAGATTAGTGGCAGCCTCTCGGGCAGAGTGTACGGAGTCACGGTTTGTCCCTGCAAAAATAGATAAAGGAAATTAAGTTTAAGGTTAGGATACACTATCAATGGCGGAACCAAAAATTTGGATACTGACAGTTAAAAAAAATTACTGTCTTAAGAAATTTTAACCATGTTCATTGAGGAGGGGTTAAAGTCTCACCAAATATTATATTTTCAAAATTTTATATGCAAATTTATCTAATTGAGGAGAGCGATAGCCCCCATTGAACTTAACGTGACTCTATCATATTCTTGTACTATAACAATACGAGGGCGATTTATAACACCTAAAATTGTTAGATTTAGTGTTGAAAGTTGTTAATTGAATGTGGTGACAATACATTCATCTAATAGCAACAACACAATCCAATGACTCTGAACATTATAAGGTAAATCCTTATGGGTTGTAAGCGCGGCGGCCATGTTGCGTAATACTCGTTACTCTATTTAATAACAGAAATCTTATGTAAGATAACTATAAAGGCAACCAGTCTAAATATTTTCCTTTACCTACCGTGATCATTTTGCCATTTCCGAGGACGAGACGCCCCAAGAAGGCGCGATCCACGCTGCTAGCGCCCACCGTCATAATCCACGGCGCCGCGTTGGACAGCGTGGCCGGGGTGGGCCCGGAATTGCCGGCGCTGCAAGCAACGACGACGTTCCTTTCCAAGGCGTGGAACGCCCCAATCGAGATCCCGTCCTCCATGTGGCTGAGGAGGTCGTCAGAGCCGATGGAGATGCTGATGACGTGGACCCCGTCGGCGATGGCGTCATCCATGGCCGCCAGCATGTCCTCCTGACCGCAGGTGTTGCCCATCGTCTTCTCCTGCCCGGGCGTCGGCCAGCACACCTTGTACACCGCCAGCCGGGCCAGCGGCGCCCCGCCCGAGGCCGTCCCGCGGGCGAAACCGCCGAACGCCGACGCGTTCTGCACCTGCCGCCCCGCCGCTATGGACGCCACGTGGGTCCCGTGGCCGTCCTTGTCCCGTGCCGACCTGTAGTCCGACGTGGCGTTCAGTGGCCCGAAGTGACGCTCGAAGCCTTTGAGGTAGTACCTCGCTCCAATTATTTTCCTGGTTGCCATACCAAGAAAAAAATAGTTTAAATGACTAAACAAAAAAGAACTGAACTGACCATGTTATTATCTTTTTGGCAAGACCAATTTCCTAAGCCAAAATGGAAGCAACTAGTTGGTCACGAAATCCTATGAGGACCCATTTTTTTGCGGCCCGTGACATAATGGAGCAGGCAGAAACAGAGTCCAGAGGCAGAGAGAAACAGAGTATCGTAGACTCACTTGTTACAATGGGAAGAGCTGAAGTCTTGTCCAGTTTGGCAGATTCCTTTCCATGTCTTTGGGATGGGTTCCAGCCCTTCGTCACTAAAGCTCCTTGCTTCCGGCCAAATACCTGATAAAACCGCTCATCAAATGATTCAATTTCCCAAACCCAAAATCAAACCAGTAGTAGTAGTAGTAGCAGGGTACATAGTCACGTGATACTACAAACAAAAGTCCGGTAAACCCCACAACGTCCATTTTTCTACATTTCTTACCGCTGTCGAGGATGCCAACGATGACGTCTTTGCCATAACCAGCTTTGTGAAGCAAATCCTCCGCCATGAAGCTCTTCTCGGTATCGAACCGGTTCGATACTTGCGGGTTATAAGTAGCTGCCTCGTTCAGCCCCGCGAATTCCCAAGACCTTGTGGTGTGTGGTTTGTACTTCCTCGGACGGCTCTCGATGACGGACACCACTTCATCCAGTTCTGCTCATCGCGAAATCAAAGGGACACAACTTATATATGTTTCATAAGTACCTTAATTAGAACAGATGTCACGTATTATTAAGTTTTCAAAATAAAAAAAGAGAGTACCATTGAGTTGGGAGGCTTGTTCTGGGGTGAGGGATGCTGCGAAGCCATTGATGCTGTGTTTGTAGCTGTAGATGAGGGAAGCTTTGGCTTCTTCTTCTGTTTCCTTTACGGACGTTAGATATGAGTGATGGGTTTCCAGGATTTGGGCTGGTGTTTTGTCACCACTGTGCCCTCCGAAGTAGACTATGTACGGCTTTTGATGTTCATCACATTTGGCTAAGAGAGGCAGAAGTGTGAGAAGGGATAGGCAAAGGAGGAGGGAAATATCGTTGTTATGCTTATGCCTCATCCTTTTGTGTTGTGGTGAGAAGGGAAATTGAGGCCGTACGTTATTTGTGCAGTATTTAGGAGGTGGGGGTATTTATAACAGGGGAATGGTGCAACTTGGAATCTTTGGCTTTGGTTAAATAATAATTGGACCGACCACTTGATGTAAAACCTTTGGATTGATTTTTCTTTAGCCCATTTCGGATAAAGTGAGTTATTTTTCATTTTGGTGGCTTTTGGACTCGCAATTTCTTGCACTTCACAGAACTTTAGGGAGAGGGTGGCTACAAGTACAAAGGATATAAATTTTTTTTACTATCTTTGAGCCAAACCTTTTATGGGGATTGTTGTATAGCTTATCGTTTTCTCTCTCTTTCTTTTCTCTCTCTTTCTCCGACGATCTAGGGTTCACGATTGAAAGCCTGGATGGCGGCCTCGCCGTCGGGCTCGTCGCCGGCTGGCGAGGAGGTCACTTGGGCGCAGCTGTTCGAGGTATCTCCGGAGAATCGGCTCAATTTCCATCCTCCGGAGAGGGTGAAGGATGGTTTTCGAATCCCGAAGGAGGTGAAGGAGAAGGGTGCTGAGAGGTGGAAGGACTCGTTGATTGGCCAGTTCGTGGGCAGTCGGCCTGAAATTCCTGCTTTGCAGACATGGGCGAACCGGTTATGGGGGAGAGATGGTCTGGTGAGGGTTTCTAGGTTTGGGGCGAAGCTTATTGTTTTTCAGTTCCCATCGGCGGCTTCATGTGATTGGGTATTCCGCTCAGGTCCATGGCATCACCGAGGGAACCCGATCTTTTTCAGGAAATGGCACTCTGGTATTCAACCCATTGTTCCAAGGGTGGAGACTCTACCAATTTGGGTGAAAATATGGGGATTACCGCTGGAATATGTTGCGCAGGAGGGTCTGGAATGGGTCACAAGTACGATGGGTAAACCGCTATGGATGGATAAGCAGACTAGAGTGGGTGGTCAATTGGGTTTCTCGCGAGCCTGTATAGAGTTGAAAGCAGATTATGGGTTTCCTTCTAGCATCAAATTTTACCCGGATGATGATCCTTGCTTTGAGGTGGGAGTGGAGTATAGTAATCTGCCGAAGGTTTGTGCGAAATGTGGGGTGTTTGGACATAGCTGTGGTGGTGAGGTTTCAGGGCCAGAGAGGGTTTGGAAGCCAAAACAGGGTAGTGGGGATGCTGTAAAAGGGACTCCGGAATTGGTTGTCGAAGAGGTTTTCAGTGATGCACTGGCGGATGAGGTGATTGCAGGGGCTGATGAAGTGTCTATGCCGGTTGGGGAAAAGGAAGTGGAGATCACTGGGGTTCAGGCTATGCAGGAGACGGGTTCTCCACAAGTGACTGTTCCTAGTCCCACTGCTGTGAGCCCTTCACTGAGCTTTGCTGCGGTGGTCAGGGGATCGCCAAGTGTGGGAAGTTCTGAAAGGATGCCTGTTGCTGCAACTCTACAGAGAGATACTCCTTCCAAAGATGATGGAATTCCGCTTCAGAAAGGGGATTCTGTCTCCTCCTCCTCTCATAAGGAGGTGGCGGGGAAGGGGAAACAGATATGGATCAGTGACTCCCAGGCTGACTTTCAGGTGGTGCGGAAAGGAGGTAAGGGTGTGAAGGGAAAGAAGCGTAAATGAAACTGTTGACCTGGAACACTAGGGGGTTTGTAGCTAGTAGTAAATATATAGATATCTGCAGGAAAATAAACAAGTATGATATAAGTATAGTAGCTATACTAGAGCCGAGAATAAGAAGAAAGGAAGAGGCTAAATTCTTAACTAAGAGGTTTAAGGAGTGGGAAAACAGGATAGTTTACAACTCAGACAGTTTGGGGAAGATTTGGTTAGCATGGAAGAGGGAGATTCCTCTAAGAATTTTGCATTCTTCTGACCAGTTTATTCATGTTCTTGTGGATGACTCTACACCTTTCTTTGCCACTTTTGTTTATGCCTCAAATGAGGAGAAGGATCGTAGAAAGTTGTTTGATGACTTGAGAAGACTTAGGGTTCAGGGAAGGCCTTGGGTGATCTCAGGGGATTTTAATGTAATTCGAAATCCCTCAGAGGCATCAAATGTTGGGGGCTATACCACTAATATGAAGGACTTTGATAGTTGGATCATGGAGTTGGAAATGGAGGATCATCAGGCAACAGGTCCATGGTTTACATGGTTAAACAAGCAGGATGCTAGGCCAATTGCAAAGAAGTTGGATAGGGTTCTGGTAAACTTTGAATGGTTGGATAAAATCTCAGGTAGCTCTGTGCATTTTCAGAAGCCTGGGATATCTGATCACTGTCCAAGTCTGATTGATACAGAAGGCACTCAGCAGTCTTTACCTAAGCCTTT